TTTGTTCTTCGTTCCTCGTGAAAATACATTCTATCAGATACGAGGGAGAAAGGGTAAAGTTAGTTTGAGCGTTTATGAAGGAATGAAGAATGGAAAGTTTATACAAGCATACGATACAAACGGTAAACGTGTTTCATTAGCTTTGTCAAAACTTACTAACATTTATTTTGACAGTGACTTTGACTCTGACGATTGGAGCGACAGCAGCGATACTGAAGAATATGAACTATTGTGTGAAGCACAGCAATGGGAAGAGTTGCAATACTTTTGTAAGTGAGAACGTTTATTTTTTACAGTAGTTAAGTGAAGTGGTTGGCGGCTTTATAAATATTTAAGGTTAAGTTAGTGTTGTCGTTTGTGTTGTAAAATATACGTTAATGGTTTTGTAAAGTGTCAAAACCGCTAAGTGGTGTACGGAGGCGCGCAGTGCCTCAGTACACGACTTAGTCTTACTAACTAAAACTTTTCTAAGCTTGGCCACAGGCGCTCCACCTTGCCGTTCTGTCTTGGCATATACGGCAAGGTGTGCTTCCAAACTATTCCGTTTTCCTGCATAACCTGGCCGAATTCACCGCGGTTTTCACCGCCGTTATCGGTCCAGATGCAGTAAGGAATAAACTCCTCTAAAAGTTTTCTTAAAACCTTCGCTGTTGGGTTGGAAGACTTGTTTTTCAATAATTTAGTTTTGAGAACTTTACGTGTCATATCATCCAATATGGCAAAAAATGGAAAAGAAACATTACCGTGAAGGTAATGAATATCGCAGTGCCATATCAAATTCTTTGATATGGCACGATATCTGGTAGGTGGATCTGCTGGTTTGTAATCTCTTTTTGAAGATAAACCTGATTCCATCATAAATTTTTCCACTTGATGATGCTTTATTTTTTGTAAATTGTCAAAAATTTGATCTTTTGTCAAATCTTCTATATTTTCAAATTCTTTTGCAATTTCTTCTTTTTCTTTCTCACAATCGGGATTTTGAGCAATATTTTGAAACCTTTTAATCAATAAATAAGTTTTTGAAATTCCTCCTTTATATTGTGAAACACAAGAATTAATTAATTGTTTTTGCTCAAATGTTGGTGGATTTGGTTTTCTGCCGCGACTAACTTTTGGTAATTCGATTTCTTGAAGTTGAAGTGCTCTTCTTATTGTATTTTCGGCAACATTCAATTTAATTTTACCATTTTCCAATTCAACTTCCTTTCCCACACTTTTGTAAGATTCACCTTCTTCTATTCTTCTTTTAGCTTCAAATAGCCATTCTCTGCTTATAGATTTGGCAGTAGTCATAAAAATGGTCCTTCTTTTGTGATAAGATTCAAATTTGAATGTGGATGATAAATAAAAATCAAAAATAATTGTTATAATTTAAATGAAGAAGTAATTTAAAACGATTTGATTTATGATCAAATTTTATATATTTTTTTGGATCAAATCCATTTTAATAGAATTTATATACTATTCATCTATTAGTAAACACTACCGTATATTATTTTTTAAGCTATCTTTTTTTTTGAAATTTTATTCAAATCTTTGGTCGCAAGAAGAATTGCATGATAAATAAAAACATTTAATCAAAGTCAATTTTATTTTTCATATTCAAATGGACTGAGTGTTAACATTTAACATTTTTTGCTAATTGTCGTCAAAAATTAGGCGTAAAGCAAAAATTGATATTTCATATGGTTTTATGATAGATAAGCATTATATTCCCACTCATTATATTCGTAAATTTTGAGGTTTATCCTTCGCTTTTAAGATCATTGAATTTGATTTTTATATAAAATAGTTATATATTAGAAAATAATATGAGTTTATGTGATATTATTTTTCAGAAGATTTTGTGTTCTTCTTCAAAATTTTATTTTTTTATTAAAAAGAATCTTTACAAAATATACATTTACTTTAATTAATATTTAAAAACGTGCTCTATCAAAAGTTCCAAAAATTCAATATTTTAGCTTTTCTGAGGTGTCACTTTTGATGAATTTCTGTTTACAACACTATACATTAGGCATATTATAAATAAGTAACAGAAAAGAAATAGACAAGAACCAAAGTCATTAAATTTCAAAATGAATTTTATTAAGGGTATAGTCCACTAAAAATTTTTAAGTTTTGACAATGAAAATAAGCTCTGTGACCATGTAAATATATATCTATGCAAAACGAGAGGTTATGCCATAATTTTTTTAGTTATCAAATTTTCCTTTTTTGAGAGAAGTCTCTCAATAATTTGAGAAGAATCTTTGATATAAAGAGATACACATTTGTAGAACGAAGTAAGTGTTTTCCAAACATTTTATATGTTCATCCTGTATAACAATATAAAGCTGCATAGTGCCATCTTGTGCGTTTGCTATTTTATGCACTTTTCATTGAGATAATCCCTCTTCTCGGGTGATTTTAACTGTCAACTCAATTTTAAAATAAAGATTTCATCAAAATGATTTCGAAATTCGGATATTGATTATATAAATAGCACTGTTAACATATTTTGGATGAGTAAAAAATACCTTGTTTTGTATGCATTTAGTATACCTTTATTTTTGATTAAAACTATAAAATTTTTATTCCTTATATAATAAATAGTATATGTTACATAAACATGAAATTCAATAGCATTCAATTTTGGATTTTTTAGATTTGGTAAATTTTAGAAGAAATAAAATCAGCAATCAAAATAAAGAAACTTTTTTTGTATCTTCTATGATTACCTTTTGGTACTAAATTTTGCATTAATAAGTAAATTATCTGTATTATTCTGTGAGCACAAGCCCTCAGTTATGCTGGTAGTGAATGATGAATCGTCATTTTGCGAAGAGAACGCGATTATTAAGGTAATTTTGAGAATTGTCTTGAATTATTTAAAATTAAAGTTAATTGAATAGGTAGGATAACTAGCCTTTGCTAAATTTGTATAATTTGACCTTATTCTAGTTGGATCTGAGAATATTTTGCTGAAATAATAAATTATATCGCCGATTTATGAAAATTTCTCTGATGGGACCGACTCGCTGAAACGTATTAGTGTTAATGGTAACTTGTCTGAATTTTCAAATTTTTTTCGAAATCCAAAAAATCACAAACAAAAGCATCAAAATTAGATTTGCATTTAAGGTTTTCATTTTTTTTTGGAAAATAAAAATATTTTTCCCCAATAAAGTTTATTTTTACTTTTGAGAGGAATAGAAACGTTATTTTGGAATTTTGAAACGACATAAATGTTCCATTTTTAATGTAGATTCTAAAATGGGGTCAAATTTTTGATTGAACCGTTATCCATTGAAAAACCTCGATTTTAAAATGTTATTCCAAAATATTCATCTAATGATATAGTATATATTTATTAATTATTACTTTTTATTCAATTTTCACTTTTGGCGGGATTTCATTTTTTTTTTGTTGTATGGGCCATATTGTTCACCAAAAACGGAAAACAAAGGCAATGCATAACATTTTACTCCACGAACGTCGTCGACTCTCAGCGCGACAGATGCTTGGTGCTTGCATAATGACCGGAATGCCATATACAAAAGGTGCTCGCTTTCTTTCTCTTTGTGGAACTAAGCCCCCTGTGAAGAGTGGTGTCATGAGACAACAGAGATTTTGTGACGATAAGATTAGAAGACTTAAAAGTATTTCCCTAATGCTGTCGAGAAAGTCCTTCAGTGGTTACTTATCCATTGATGCAAGATGGACGCACAGGCGAAACTCGCCAAGTTGTACAGTAACTGCGCTCGATGCTGTCACAAAAAGAGTTCTTGCATGCGTGAACATCAACCATATTGGTGGAAACAGACAGCATGCTCAGTATTCAGGAGCTTCCAACAATATGGAAAGTGCTGGAACTCGAATCATCTTGAAGCAATTAAAGAAATACAATATCTTGAAAGATGTTAAAGAGATTATTAAAAGTTAGTATACAAGTCATGGGTATGGTGGCACTGCGCACCTACTTACCCATTATATGTGAATTTGACACTTTACAAAACCGTTAACGTATATTTTACAACACAAACGACAACACTAACTTAACCTTAAATATTTATAAAGCCGCCAACCACTTCACCTCACTACTGTAAAAAATAAACGTTCTCACTTACAAAAGTATTGCAACTCCTCCCATTGCTGTGCTTCACTAACGACTTCACACGTATGAAAACATAGCACAAAAATAAATTTAGGTGAAGTGGTGAGATCTCACCTCTTTTTTCACCTGTTTTTTCACCCTGTTGAATTCATTGCTTTATAACTCTCTTCCTTGGTTTCTTTTTAGTTGCTTTCTTCACGTCTGTCTCCAGCTTGACTGTCTTTCTTCTTCGTCCATAATGATACCAATTACTTCCACCAGTCAATGGGTCAAATGGTCTTTCGTAAGGGTTTCCATACATTCCATAGGGACCATACGGAAGAACTACTGGTGGAGAAGAAACATTTTCTTTAGTTCCATCGAATCTATTTAAATGCATTGTTTCACCTTTCATCCGGTCATTAAAGTCTTTTGCGTGTTTTGCAAACTCATCGTCCTTTCCTAAAGCATTTTCTGACTCAGTCGCAACCAAATTGGATGCTTTATTTATGAGCCCTATTTTATTTAATCTTAACTTCTTTGCAACCCAGCCTCCAATCTTTCCTTTATTTGCATCTAATGTCTTTGAAACCCTTCCTCCACTCATTTTATTTACTGCGTCATAAGCTCCAAATGCTTTTGCTCCAAATGCTAATGCTTTTGTTCCCATTGCGCCTAAAGCTGCCCAAGCTACCATTTACACCATATTAAAATCATCTCTCTTCAATATTATCTCATAAAAGTTCTCGTTACTGGAGAAAGTCAATGAAACATAAACATTCTCACGGGCTTCGCCCTCACCGCTTTGCGGTCTATCTAACTTATTTCTTATATCATCTATACGCTTCAAAATGTCTGAACAATTGCTAACATCTTCTACAACAGTTATTTCATCATGAATGACCTTCAAGAACAAGCTCATTTAATATGCTATTAAAATCATCTCAATAATGAGTCCATCCTTTCCATCTTTGGGTAGCACAACATCTTTCATTGAAGAAGGTTCGACAAGTCTTATGTTAAACTTACTGACAAAGTTTGTTATACTATAATGCTTCGGCGGCGAATACATGTAGTTTGAAAGACATAATATAGATTCTTCAGCAAATTCACTTATACTGGATTTTATAACAATGTTCTCACGAGACCAAATACCACCAATTGACAATCTTGTAAGCAATCCTGCTGAACCTTCTACTGTAAACGTCGATGGTAACATTCCACGAAGGTCATCTATTGACATCGTTGAGTCACTGTATTTAAATATTTTCTTAAAGCAATCGTCATTATCTAACCATGCAATAGCTTTGAAGTTTTCATTCGAATATACATCTGCTTCATTAAATGTAAAACCTGACTTCTTTGCAGAGATGACTTTAAAATCTATTGAGTTTGTTTCAAAATTATATGCTATGGTAACTTCTGAAGGCAATGGATGTCCTTCCGCAGTCAGTTGTTCTCTCACTACCGTTTGAAGCTTTGTATTAAAAACTTTCATGTCATCTCCTGTATCTAAGTTCACATACACAGCAACAGGGAAACTATCTTGCTTCTTTGTTTCATCATTATACCTCAAAACATTAAAGTTCTTCAATAATATTGTTCTTCCTGCTGGAATACTTCGAACCTGTCTGATTTCAATAGCTTTCTCACCTCCTACATACTCTACCCAGTGCTTGGATATTCATAAGTATACTGACTTTCTTGAATTTTGGTTGGTTTCATCATAACATGTTCATAGTATATCTTTATACTCTTGTCAGTTAGACTCGGTGCTATGTTCTGAATATTTCTGACTTGCATTTTTAATGGAGATAAAATGAAGCATTTAATACATGACGTAGATGAAGACATGAATGAAACTACAGACAAACTTAACTCTTCTCTCATTCTTCCTTTCAGTAAGGACTATGAGTTCTGTTCAAATGGTGTTTTTTCTATTGTGGAAAGATGGGTTCAGGTAAGACATTTAACCTCATTCGTCATATACTCATAACAGAACGTTTAGGAAGATCATATTATGACCAAATCATTATATCAGCAACTTCAGACTCTATGGACTCAACAGCGAAAACATTTATGTCAAAAGTTCAAGCCTCTGTCGTTAAAGTTCCAGACAGTGAACTCATTGAATTTCTTCAACGTTACATTCGACGTAAGAGGAAATATTATGCTATCGTAGAGTTCATACAGTCAGGAATGCAAAAGACTTCTGAGGAGATGGAAAGAATTATTGACAAACACCACTTACGTCAGTACTCAGGAGTTTACGATATGAAACGACTTACAAACTACATTCTATCAAAACTTTCAAAATACCCCTTCAAAAAATATCCTTCAAACACTTTGTTAGTTTGCGACGACTTCGCCGGAAAAGGTTTAGTTCAAAACCAGACTCACCATTAGCTAACATCATAACTAAAGTCAGACATTACCACTTAACTGTAGCAATACTTATGCAAACATGGAGGTTTTTAGCTTTAAACATAAAACGTCTCATAACTGACTTCGTTATCTTTCAAGGTTTCTCACGCTATGATATTGAACTCATTTGGAAACAGTCAGGTATAACATTACCTTTTGAAGAAATTTGGGAAGCATATAAGTCTCTCATCTCTCCTCGTTCATACCTTGAGATTCATATCATGACTAATACCATTAAAGTCAAAAATATTCCATGGGAACGACCAACATTGTTTTAAAGTTTAACCTTCAATTGACTGATGGTAAACAAATTCCATGCATCTCTGTCGCCATTTCTGTTAATATTTTTGCTGTCATTCATATCATCCACTTCCCCATCCGTTAGCTTTTGAGGATATGCGTTAGAATAGCTGTTCTTAAATGAAGGCTTTTCACCTTTGAGAGCATAAACTCTATAACTTTCTGCATACTTTATGTTTGAACCTCCTGAGCCATCATTGACATAAATTTTTATAGGCTTCCACCCTTTGTTCATGTTCCTGCTTCTTCCCTTAGCTCTTTTGTTCAGTAGTTCTACATCTTTATACACAGCTCCTGTCTCAGTGAATTCAACAATATTTTCATTCGTTAGCTTTACATTCAAACCCTTGTCGAGTATATTGTTCATTTCATACATATAAAAGGTTTTTATTCTATATGAAATGAGAAGCAAATCCATCTTAGCTGGTGCCGTTAATGTTCCAATTGAACCAACATCAAATGTTGACTCACGAACGACAAACAATATTGTCATAAAGAACTATAGTTCAGAGTGTTTGAAAGAACCAGAACCAGAGCTGAAATCCGTGAATTTAAACTCAGCTTCAAACGCTAACGCTACATCAGATGTTAAGTTAGAGTATCCACCACTGGACCAAATTCTTTCAAGAGAAGCCAACGACAATCCTTACACAAATGTTCAAACAAATCCTTCAGATAACGTAGACCATTACCTTCTTCAGTTATACCAAACAATTTTACTCAAAGACGATAAGAAGCTTTTGGTAAATCTTATAAGCAAGAACCAAATAATTCTAACAAAGGAGGACCTTGAAAATGTTATCTCACGAATAACAGGGAAACAATGTGTCATTGACTATCTCGACCCTGAAATCGAATGCTGTGGTCAAACTCCACTATTCATGAAAATAGGTAACATCCGCATCATTGAAACACCAGGAACTACAGGAGTTGAGTTTAAGTATAAATATTCGAATGAATATACAAAACTTTCAACAGAATATAAGCTTTGTTTGAAATATGTTTTAGTAAATTAAAGCAGTCAGGAGGGCTCTTTGAGCCCATCTTGGCGCTTTGCACCGTCAGTCAAAAAAAATTTCAAGTTAGCAATTTGTAATATCTATCCAAAACTTCTTCAACAGTATCGAACTCATCTTCATAATGCAAACCTAATCTTATTGACTTGGTGCAGTTTTCACTAACACAATATTTTTCTGTTCTCTTGACTGACATAACTAACTCATCTGTTTCATCAAACAGCAACAACCAAAGTTCATGACCTAATACATAACATTCATACTTTATATTTTTAGCTCTGAGTTCTCTTGTAAGCTGTTGCATTTAATATTTTCTAAAAAGTCAACTTCAACAGTCATTCGCACTGGTGCCTTCAGTTCTACAGGCTCTCCTTGAAAGTCAACAAGTCTGAATTGCATGTCTTTCAAATTATGAGGACTAATGCGAACCCATTTACCTAAATGAGTTGCTATGACAGGAACGTTTGGAATGAACATTGAATTGACTGCATAACAGAAGGATTTATATTCTACTGAACCTTTACTATTAACTCCTGAAATACCTGTGACATTAGCTATTTTAGACTCAATGTACAAACAATTACCATAACATACGTATGGAACAGATTTCATCTCAATCGTTTTGTCAACACTTTTCAAAGGAAATGTCATATGGTATGCACCCAAAAGAAGTTGTACTCTATGACTCATTCTTGGTATCTTAAACTCCTTCGCATAACTGAACTTCAAAACTCCTGCAATAAGTTTAACATTCATTAAGTTTTCTTCGTTATCCTTGTTTATTGTAGTATTTATGAGAGCATTTAACACTCCAGCTAATGTTTCCATCTTATATTCTACATTATTGTGAAATCTTATTTCGTGCTTCTTTCCATCTATTTCAATCTCCATGAAATCTGTTTCATCTGTTATAACGAAAAGCGATAGTATTGAAGTCAACCATTCTGAATGCAAGCGCCTCATTCTGTAGACCTAAGTTTGTTTGTAGCTTTACTGTCCCGTATTCGTTTGGGTCTGTACTTTGCAAATAGAACAACATTTTATTCTCATTAAAATATGAGTATAGCTGCATATGCGTATGAAGCTGACAGAGCTAAACGTTTATATTTTGGTCAATACTCTCTCACACTTACTGACAAATATATTGTTATCACTGATGGAAATACTGAGAAATACATAACATGGAAGGACTATGAAAAGTTTGACCCTATTTTAACTCCATGTACTATGCCGTTTATAAAGGACGGTGAAATTATTGAAAAAGATAATACAACCGTATATAGGTCTGTTTATGAAGCATTAGAATATATATTGAATCATAACCCAAAAAGATTTGACCCAAGCACTACACCATGTGCAATGCCTTTTATTAAGGACGGTGAAATCATAAGAGTTCCGGATTCAACGGTTTACACAGCTGTTCAAAACAGTTTACAAAACATTTTAGCGAATATCTTTAATTCAGAAACTACAGAAATAAAATTACCATATATAACAGATGCTAAAGAAATTAAATCAAAAACGACAACATTATTTACGTCACTTAATGATTTAATGACTTATATCATTAATATTCCTGCACCAACTACAGCATTTGATCCAAACTCGACGGTTTGCAGTGTACCTTTCATAAATGACAGTTCATTAATTGCTTTAAGGGATTCGACAGTAAATGAATCATTAAAGGCGTCATTAATGAAAATCATTGATTTTAATTCATTCACGAATACATATAATTCATTCATTAATGTTTCATATGCTTCTAAAGAAGGTGAGCCAAAAACTATCGATAAAGCTGTGTATGAAATAAAAGCATCAACGACGAAATTGAATTCGTTAACTTTTGACGGTGATAGTTTCGTTAATGACATAACATCGGGGAAAACAATTTTAACGAAAGAATACTTAAAATCTCATGTTAGTGAGTTCGTTGAAATTGAAAAAGAAGGTGGAATTAAGTTCGATCCACTGAATTTCATTTTCAGCTTAGCGAATGCGGGTGTTAGTTTCGCTGAATGGACAACTATACAGAGTGAAATAAATGCAATATGGACGTTTTTGGGGTCAAAAGCGGAATGGGTGAGCTTGTAAATGCTGCAAGAACATTAGGTGAAACAGGAAATTTTGTAGATGGTTTTAAAAGACTTGTTTCAAATGTTTTAACAAACACAAAGAAATTATTTAGATATACCGTACATAACGGACGGATTTTCGAACAGATAGCAACAAACCCTCCGGTTATGGCTGCGTTGATGATGGTTAGAGATATAAAACCACGTAACGACGGGAACGAAGAACATGAACAACAGGATACTGGTCGGGTTATTCGAGACATTAAAAACGTGTATCCTGAAGTTATTGATTTATTTAGAGGAGTTAATGATTCAATTTCAAAACATTCTATAACCCTCGATGAAGAGAATAAATTAACAGATTATATATTCGTCATTATTGCAGAACTAATGAAGAGAATAAATGAAAAAGGAATTGGTGATATCATTAATGTCAGCGATGTAATGATGAAAAGAAATTTTGACTCATTATTTACAAAACCGAAAACAGAATATAGTCTTTATGACGTAATTACCGAATTAATGAAAAAGATTAATGATAATAAGAGTTCTGGCGGAAGAGTTGAATTAGAAGTGAATGATGTTAATGAGAAATTAGCCGAAAAAGCAGACAAAAATGAGCTTTTAGCTCTGAGTGATAAAGTCAAGAACCACGTTCATTATATAACTTCAGACGAACAGATTATAACGGACTACCATGGATATTTAACACGAAGTGATGAAGCGAAGACAAAAAATGTTAATGAAAGAAGATATAAATACATTCGTGCTAAAGGTTATGACATAAGCTGTACTGTACAGTATGATGTAGCTAAAGCACCAGAAGCATTTGGTTATACCGGTGAAATTTATGCCTCTACTTTCAATGTTAACGGTGTATTAGTTGAACCAAGATTTACATTGAGAGTTAAGGCAAAAATAACGTTTGAAGATGCTATTAAAAGTAAAGCTGACAAAGTTGAACTCGAAGCAATGAACAAAGTTTTGAAATCTCATAAACACAATATCTCCGATATAAATGAACTTCAAGCTACATTAAATAGTAAAGCTGACAAGAACCATACACATGAATCCTTCACTACTGTTAGAGCAGACGACATAATATTGAACTATACCCTTGGTTCAAGTGCACCTTTAGAGAATCCGAGTACAAGCGTAAAAGATACTCTTAACAATTTAGATAACAGTTGCAGGAATATCGAAGATCATGCCAGAAACTTTGAAGCATATGAACTACCAGCAATGTTAGATAAGAAAGCTGACAAAACTTATGTAGATGAAAATTATGCAAAGAAGTCGGAAGTAAATGCTGCGCTTAATGGAAAAGCCGACAAGAACCATACACATGAAGAATTTCAAACAATCAAGATTAAAGAAATTAAAGCATGCATCGAAATAGTAACAAAAACAGGAAAACGGTGCAACTGTACAAGAACAAAGAATTTATCCTCCTACTTTTCCTAATGGTTTAATAACAAACAATATAAATATTGAAGATGGCAATAAAGTTATAAACGTTAAACATGAACTTCAAACAATGAAGGCTCAGATTCTTCAAACATTATATCCTGTTGGCTCTATTTATACGTCAATGAATTCAACAAATCCAGCAAGTGTTTTAGGTTTTGGTACGTGGGAACAGATTGTAGACAAATTCTTATACTGTGCTAACTCTTCAAAGCAAACAGGGGGTTCGAAGAAAATTAAAGAAGCAAACCTTCCCCCGCACACTCATACGGGAACTACAAACACAACAGGTAATCATTCACATTCAATAACAAAAAGAGGTTATAGAAATCTTGCAGCAGGTTCGGATAGACAGGGAATGGATAGATATGATATTTCAAGCGACCCAGTAGATTCAAGCGCAGGTATTTTCTGTGGGACCACAGGAAATCATTCACACACTTTCACAACAAATCCAACAGGCTCGGGTGAAGATTATATGCCACCATTTGTGACTGTATTCGCATGGTACCGCGTTCAATGAACGCGCTTGAGCCTAGAATAAAATCTTTAACTTTACATAAATGAGCTTGAAAGAAGTATTCGAACAACATCCATGGAGGTCATTTAAGAATTCAATGAAGCTGCAAAGAGTTGGGGATTTACTAACAGAGCTGAAGTGAAAAGGTTATTTGACAAAAATGTTGTACATCAAACAAAAATAAACCCTTACGACTACTTTTTACCAATTTACTCCAACACTCCTGACGCATACCAATTTGACACTCTCATTCAAAGCAGAAAAGGAGGACATAAACCATTCCTCATCTTCATTAATGTTAACACTCGTAAAGCATATGCATATCCAATGAAAAATAAAGGAATTCGTGAAGTGTTAAGAGTTTTACAAAAGTTTGTAGCAGAACATAGCCCAAGTACTTTAACATCAGACCAAGACAGTGCATACCTCAGCAATGAAATCACAGATTTTCTCATTAAGCATAACATAACTCACTACACTACTGAAGACCATAACCATAACATACTCGGCATCATAAACCGCTTCATAAGAACGCTCAGAGATTTAAACCAAGAGCGAGACTTTACCGAAGAAACAATGAAACATTTTCTCGAAGTATATAATTCCTCAACACATTCTACAACAGGACATACACCAAATTCAATGACACAACAACAAGAAGAAAAGTATATACAAAAGAAACGAAGCCAAACACAAAATATCAGAAATTCACACAATTTACCCTCATTCCTGGTACAAAAGTTCGTGTAGTTCTTGACGACAAGCCGTTGACAAAGAAACGTTTTAAGGTTAAGTAGAAACTATTATATCGTAGACTCTACGCAAGGTAATGGATATCTTATAAAAGCTGCTGACGACTCTATTGCGTTTTACCCTCGTCACAAATTAGTCGAAAGTAGTAATGGCAAACTTGCTGAAACCATTGACGAAGCAAAGCGAGAGTGGTTATTGAAATACTTGGCTATAACATAACGATGACACTTATAAAGTAAGATATGAAGGAGGCGTTGAAGATGTATACCATCTAAGAACTGAGAGAGTCAAAGTCAACACATCTGGGACCATTAGAGGCGGGAGTACTGGAAAGACAAAAATAAGCCAGAAAGAATAAGAAAATTCTTCTAAACTTTTTCATTAGATGTAAATCAGACATGAATGAGAACAGTCATGTATTATTAATGGCACCATTTATTTTTGTCATAAATTTACACCAAAAATATATTTTAGGTGAAGAGGTGAGATCTCACCGGTTTTTTCACCTCTTTTTTCACCCTCATGAATTTTCATGAATTTCCTTAAGACAGAAAAAATAAAGTTAGTTTTATTTTTATTTATTTTTATTTTGTATAAAAAGATATGATTTCAACAATCGGCACAACAACAATTCAAGCCACAAACGGCGGGACTCTGTCCACAACTACAGCACCAAACTCGCTAGTCATGAATCCTACGTCAATGTTGGTAGAGATGAAAAGCTTTATTCCTTCTTCATATACTTTTGAAACAGAAATCCAGAAGATAAAGCAAGAACTTTTAACAAGTAATTTAGACTGTAGTGCGAAAGATGAAACAAATGAACAGTATCTTTATGAAATGGAGGACCTCATCGACCATTTACCCAAATTGCCTGAAATCCAACAACAAAAGCTCACTATTCCTGAATTCGATGAAATAGAAGTGAAACCAACTGACTCAGTAGAAATTAAGAAGTTCATACGAAAGGTAAATTATGAATTCCTTGGTTTTCATTGCAACCATAAAGTTATGGACAAAGATTGCGACATGGTTTATAAAAATATTTCTGACATATATAAATCTGGGGAGTTTAAGACATACGATAACTTTGTTTCATTAGTTGCAAAATGTGTATGGCAGATAAGAGATAAAGATAGAAGAGGCAAAGTATGGAATGAACAGATAAAACCAGCAGCTTTTGAGTTAAAGAAAACCATTGACGCCTTAGTTGTTCTAGCTGGTTTTATTTCAATGTATAACGCAAAAATGATGCCGCAATGTTCAAAATGTAAGCAGCAATAAGAAAAATATAACTACTCAGTCAAAGAGATAGAAAGAATGCGAAACGACTATGCAGACTTAAAGAAAGAAGCACAAAAGCCAGCAGAAGATAAAATGATATGTTGACATTTCTTAATAAAAACTATCCAACAGCAGAAGATTTCCTTCTGTCTGACGTCAAGAAGAAATATAAAGAAACCTTCGCATGTTAAAACATTCGATTACTAAAAGAAGAAATAGAAGCTACGAAATTGTTTAGGATTTCAAATATACATCGTACAATTCATGTAAAACGCTTGTGAAAAAAAGAGGTGAAAAAACAGGTGAGATCTCACCTCTTCACCTCAACATTATTTTTATTGAATTCAGCACAAAAATAATGAATTTCATTAGTTATTTTGTATGTAAAGACAGTAATGACAAACATTGAGTTTGAAACAGTTAGAAAGATAGACAATGACACCAAAGTGGTTAGAATAGGTGATTTAAACGTAAGATACTCAAAGAAATACAACAAATATTCTTTGTCAGACATTATATCTCCATCTGGAAAGAAAACAAAGGACTGGGTTAGAAATGCTTCAACTCAGAAAATTTTGACAAGAAATCCTGAGCTTATGATATCAGTAGCATTTCATGGAACAAGAGCATATCTTATAGACAAAAGTCTTATACCAATAGTTTTGTTATGGTTAGACCCAGTTGTTGGATATAACTTCATAACTTATGGTTCATTCGATACGGAACGTTGCAGTGAAGGCTTACTTTACATCGTTCAGAAACCGAAGGACTTCAACACAAAAAGATATAAGATAGGAAGGACATATAATATAACTCAAAGATATGACAGTACAGTCAATAGAGTCAAGGTTGTGTTTGTTAATGATATGAGAGCTGCTGAAACAGAACTGCTTGAAGTTTTTGAGAAAATGTATGGTGCTCCCATGAAAGGTAAAGAAACGTTTGAAGTAGATGAATAGATAAAGCTATAAAATTATTTGACGAAGTTGCTGAAAAATACATGTAAAGCGTTTATTTTTGGTCTTTTGTGAAAGTCAGAAAATAAAGTTAGTTTTATTTTTATTTATTTTTTTATTTTGTATGTAAAGACAGTAATGACAACATCAGAGAACACAACAACAGTTATAGTCCATGAAGCTATAAATGAAGAATACGAATACATACAATATAACAAACAACTTCGCCTCATTCGTTCGGTCAAGATGACATGTACCAAATGCAAAGTATAATGAATGCTCTTCGTTCTACAAAGCAAGCATATCATTGGTTTGAAAACCAACAGACAAAAGAACTTTTAGAAGAATTTCCTCATATGATTGCTTCCCTCGGAAAACCGAGAGAAGAGATTCCGTACGAAAATCGCAAGAATTTGGCTCCTGGTTTGAAAGGTTATTATGTTCATAGACTTTTAGTAAATGCTGTAGCAATGTGGGCTTCACCTCGTTATGCTTGTTATATTTTCATGATGTTAGATGAACTATATAAAGCAGAACGTGGAGAGATGGAAAAGAAATTCAAGCAAAAGATGAAGTCATTGAATCCAAAGACAAAAGCATACAGAAAAGAATACCGCTTCAGTACCAAAAGGAAAGGAAAAGAGTTATAAGTATATGATATATACTGAAGAGTTGGAGAAAGAAGAAGATAAAGATGTGGTTATGTTGCATTTAGTCAGAAGAAACAACAAAAGCTTTTACGACTTAGCTAAAATATATAAATCTGACAGAAACTGGTTCTATCGTGAAAACTTACCGATTTCAATGACACCGAATGAGCAAATAAAGGAAATTGTCAAAAATACTCTTCCTCAAACACACTATGACATCAAAGGTTGCACAATACTTACATTCAAAGAAGACTTAACATTACTGAAGGAAAAAAATAACAGAATATTTCGATAACTTCAAAGAGGAAGAATAAAAAAATCTAAGCTAATTTTATTTTTTTTAT